TAAAGACAGAAGCTCGCCAGCTATGCTAAAGCAACTAGTGGATATACCCCGTGAGACTCTAGGGAGGGGCTAGCCTAAGCCTCTTCTTCTTCTCATGGTCTTGTTGTGGACTGAGAAAGCGCTTGCCCTGTACCCTCTCTGGGAATGCACTCCCTCCCTCCTGATAGCCTTGATCTTCCATTCCAGTATCCTCCTCGCACATGCCTTCCTTTACACCTGGCAACACACCAAACCACCAAGGAACGAACCACATCTGAACCTGGTCAGTCTTTTTCAGCGCAATCGGGTATGAGGACACAAGGGTTCTGCAGATAGACCCTGCTCAGAATTTCTCCCAGCCACCCCCTGCGACACGGAAGCCAGAATCGACGTTTTCTGATTTGGAGGCAAACGAAACCCAGGATGGAGATGTTCTCACCATATCCTTGCTGTTGTCCTGGATAACTTTGTTGATTTGAGTATTGCTGCTGGGAATATGTTTGCTGCTGGGCAGCTCCTTGCTGGTATCCGGTTTGCTGCTGGCTGTACTGGGAGTTCCCTAAAGACCACAGATCAGCACAATGGATTGGCAGTGTTACAATATACAGAAGGGGGGTTAGTACACACATTCTTTTTCTCAGTTGTCACACGGGAATGTCTATTTTAAATGTGTTGCATTTTAAAAACAGATGTTACGGATGTTTGCCTTGTGTGAACTTTTACTCTTTTCCCACTTATTTAAAACATTTACGTGTGCAGGAGAGAGGGGTAGTGGGGCGTGTAGCTGTGGATTGCCCACCCCTGCAACATGGAGAAAATGTACCCTCCTACTGCAAGTAAACATGCGTATGCATTTTTGCAAACTTGGTATGATTTGCAAGATCACTCAACCCCCTACCTCCTTCGTAGTAGTGCTGTGTGGAATCCTCAAATGATCGATCATAGCTTTGCTCCGAATAAGACGACTGCTGATACGCATAATCACCGTGGCCTATTCTCAGATGGCGAAAAACATAAAAGGCAGCTATGTCAGAAACAGACTTTAAAGAAAACGACATATGCGTTAGAAAAGGAAGAGAAATGCATCACAAGCAGCGTAAAAGGGAGAGGGTGCCCTTAACGCTACATGTCTATCTTGGTTTTTGCATCGAACTATTACAACTTGCCCAAAAGCATCCTAAATATTGGAGTTTGCTGAGGTGCTCCAAACTCTTAGAGACCCTTTGCACTCTTTTACAAATTGCAATTCTCCAGAGGAAAAGGGAAACGCTAGTAAATTCCTCCAGTTCGGTAGAATGAGGTGACCAAAGGCTACTTGGATGAAAGCACCTTGATTGGCGAGGAAAAAGATAGCCGACCTGGATTTCTAAAATAAGAAGCGTCAGAGACTTCAGAGCGATTTTAAGGGCCTGAATTTTAGAGTGGTGAAGTTCACATCTAGTGAGAGACAGTTTGCCTTGTGAAATCCTCAGGGGGAGAGAAAATACAGTAGAGTTTCTCCTTATAGGTCTCTGCCCCTTTTTTGTCATCTCGACAAGACAGCTTCACTGCCTCTGGGGCTACTTTTTCCACATTTACTTTCACCAACTCGGGGTTGTGACACACGTAAAAAGGGCGGGGCTTCAGTCACATGGTTTTGGCCACCATCTTGACTTTTTTGGCCCACTCCCTACCGGCAGCCCTGTACTAACTCTGCTTGCGTCGTAACAGATCTCACACAGTCTTGCAAGGGAAAAGACTAATCACAGGTGGT